GCTGTTCAGTACTTAAAGGGGACCTATAGGAAAGATGGGGAAAATCTTTTTAGTAGGGCCAGCTGTGACAGGACAAGGGGTAATGGGTTTAAACTAAAACAGGGTAGGTTTAGACTGGATGTAAGGAAGAAATTCTTTGCAGTGAGGGTAGGGAAACACTGGAACAGGTTGTCCAGAGAGGAGTGGAGGCCCCATCCCTGGCGACATTCAAGACCGGGTTGTACAGGGCTCTGAGCAACCTGATCTAGTTAGCAGTGTCCCTGCTCGCTGCAAGGGGACCTCTAAAGGTCCCTTCCAACCCAAAACATTCTATGATTCTGTGATTCTAAAGTTAGATGTAGGGCTGGAGCCCTTTTGGTAGAGCAGAATTTTGTGGGAATCCTGTAAGATTGCATAGTGATCATATCTAGTGGTTGTTAGGGAGCACTCTGCCCTCAGAAAGTGCTTATATATCATGAGAATTAATATCTTGTCGGAAGTTCTCAGGCCTCCTCTTTATTTAACAATGGCCAAAACTATATAATGGAGATTCAGAACCCTCTTTGGTCCTAAGATGCTAGCAGAAATTATACTGATGACTCACTAATGTGTTGTATTTTATTACAGCTTAATATGTTGGAATTGAAAAGTTCAAGCCATACATAGTATTGAAGTAATGTAATTATATAATTATATATTATATTATATGATTATCTGAAATAATGTGGTTATATAATATTTATCTATTTTGCCTTTCAAAAGTATGTTCTGAAATAAATAAATCTCAGAGAGTGCATTAAATGTAGTGTGTCTTTTCTTTTTTTATATTTCCTTTTCTTCCAGGCAACCAGTAACGAAAAACACATTTCGGCAGTACAGGGTACTAGGGAAAGGCGGCTTTGGGGAGGTGAGTAATTCTGAAAGTTTCTGTTAAGAGTGTTTCTTGCTTCTCAGGGACTGCAGGTTACAGGAGTCTGATGTGACAGAGGCTATTTTCATTAATTGCTGACAGTTTTATGTAACCTCTCATGACACTGATCTCAAAAGAACACTTTTGAGAATTATTTTGTGTTGGACTGATGCATTCACAGCAGAATTAGGGTCACACCCTTATTTGTATTTTACTGATGGCTTGAGGTTGCTGCCTAGGCAGCAGAGTCAGAGGAGGCGCAGACAGGCTTTAGCTGAGCAGATTACAATCTGCACAGACAAAAGGAGGTGGAATAGGAAGCAGGCAGAGGAAAGTGAAATAATTAAACCAATATTACACAGCAGGTTTGGAAACAGTAGTCCCATGCCCAGCTGCCCCCGCCTATGCCTTACTCACTATGCCGCCATCTCTAACCTTAAAAGGAGTAAATCAGATCAAATCATGAGGAGTAAAGCGCAACCCAGACACAGCGTTTGCTTTGACTTACCCAGCAATTGTTCTCTTTAATTCGCAGGTCTGCGCTTGCCAAGTCCGAGCAACAGGGAAGATGTACGCCTGCAAGAGATTAGAGAAGAAGAGAATAAAAAAGAGGAAAGGCGAATCCATGGCACTAAATGAAAAGCAGATTTTAGAAAAAGTCAATAGTCAGTTTGTAGTGAGTATTGACCTCCTTGGCGCTCTGCTTCCTGCTCACCTGCTGAGCACTGTTCTTATTGAATCCAATGCCTCCTCCTCCTGCTGCAGGAGAGGTGCCAGAAGCTGACTCCCTTTGCTTTGCACCTTAGTCCTGCTCCATGCACCTTTACCAAGTCTCATTTTAGGCTTTGGTCTGTGAAAAATACACTGAACAAGGTGCCTGTTCCTACCATGGGAACATGATGCATTTTACAGCCCTAACTTGCATCAGGGCTGCATGAGGCTGAGCTATTTTTATCCAGCGTTGATTACCTGAATTCCCAATGTCTAGGAGAGAGGAGCTTGGAGGAGACTGAAGGAGGTTAAACCCAAATAAATCAGAAGAGATCTAGTAGGAGTATCTAGCCAGTGACATGGAGCTGGTCTGCCTGACATAGGGCTTTCCTGAGATCTGCCAGCTCTTGTGACTCTTCAAAAACTTGCCTTACATTAAAAAAAAAAAAAAAAAAGTGTTGTTATCTCAGCATCTATGTTCATTATACTTTATTTTAGGAAACACTATGAATACAAAAGATGCGTGATGTTTACTTACCTCTGGCAGAAGCAAAGATAATGGCACATATTTAAAAGTGATGGGTAGCTTTTGGCTTGTCTGATCATTCCTGGGGCCTCACTAGAGCCTCGCAAGGGTGATGGTGACCTTCATGCCTCAGTGTGGTCTGTTTGACCACTGCAGGACAGGGCTATCTGGGTCTTCCTGAGAACCTACTGAGATGATGGGTTTTGACAGCTATCCAGCAAAACAGTGCAGCAGGAGGTGTAGATTCCCTTGACTATTAAGATTTCTCTTATGCTGAAAAGTATGTCTGGATTTACTGTTTGTCCAGCCTGTGAAGCTATCTAAGCATTATCCTTGAGAGTCTCTGATGATGAATACATCTGATAACATCTGATTTTTCTGTACTTTTAAAATATATGTTTGCTATTGTAATAAGGCACTTACCAAATTCAGTCAATGTGTTTTTTCCCTTTTCTAAAGAAAACCTTTAATGAAAAGTTAGTGCTTTCCTCTTAGCAGCTAAGTGAACTTTTACAACTATGCTACATATGTTTTTCTAGGTCAATTTAGCCTATGCCTATGAAACGAAGGATGCACTGTGTTTAGTTCTGACCATAATGAATGGAGGTGACCTGAAGTTTCATATCTACAACATGGGAAACCCAGGCTTTGAGGAGGAAAGAGCTTTGTTTTATGCAGCAGAGATTCTTTGTGGCTTAGAAGACCTACATAGAGAAAATACTGTGTACAGGTAAGCACTCTCTTAGGACATCTTTTCTGGGTAGAAAAGAATTTCCTGCAACCTCTCTGCTCATTATGCTGCTGTATAGCTTAGATGCCTGTGCTTTGGCTGAAATTTTGCAGAGCCCTGTACAAATACAGTATGATTCAGTAATCATGGAAGAAAGCAGTTGCTTCACTAAATATGAACTGTCTAAATTACACAGAAATAACACAACGTTCCCCAAACCCTACCTCAGCATGCACTGGGTAACATAAGAAGATTATGAAAGTTCCTTTAAAGGGATTTCATTAAGGAATCTAGTTTCTAGTTGATGTGAAATGGAGATCATTCTATTCAAGCCTCTATTTTAATTAGTTTGATTATATTGCATTAGGGGCTGCAGCACGTCAAATGTAGAAAAAACATCTCTCCTATCTCAGAGGGAGTGTAATTAGCTCAAGAGGGTATTTGAGACATGGGGCATGGATTTACACTCTAGGACACGAACTAGTTTGATTAGCTAGGTTGGATCGTGATGGTAGCCATAGCATGCCAGCTGTGGAAGGAGGCACATTCACAACTATGCAATGGAGGCATCCTGCTGACAGCATCTCACCCTCTGCGGGTGCAGCCTTTGGGCAGAGCACTGCCCAGCACAGTGACAGGCAGGCAGCTTTGAGAAGGACAAAATTCAAGTTCTCAGCTTCCAGGCTGGCTTCCAGTTCTATACAAGCACTTTTCCAGGGCATCATAGGGTTTACTTGCTGGATAAAGCATGGTGTTTGCAGACAGAGTTCTTGTGACTCCATGAGGATTTATTTTTTTTAATCAACAACCGGTGTAGTTGTAAACAACATTAATGTTTGTCTTCATCATCCCAGCCTGTGAAATCATTATTGCTGGCATTCACAGCAGAAGAGGTCCTGTAAATTCATGAAAGAACTTCCAAGGACAATGATTAATAGATAATAACATGTTATTTTTAAAAACTAAGCCATACTTTAAATCATTTGATATGCCCATGCGTAATAAGTGTTAGATGCTTGTATATATAGAAATTTCAGTATTGTTGTTCCTTGGAGATCTCTAGCAAACTGCCACTTGGTTGCCTCACTGTGACTCGGATCTTGCTAGCTGGCATAAGGAGGGCAGACAGGTAGCATGGTGATCTAGTTGGTGCTGGCCCACGAAGGATATTTTTTTCCCAAGGAACAAAACAGAATTAAGTGTTTAATGTCAACTGAAAAATCAAATAATGAGTGACATGTCTGGTTTCCCTTTTCTTTAAAAAACATCCTACCACATTCAAAAAAATGTTAGGAGGTATTATAGTGTTTCTTTAAAAACTACTAGACCACAAGCATACTTTATTGATGAAAATGACTGGTACATTCATCACATGACTGGTAAAATGCCATATGAATGCCACTTTCTAATAAAACAAATTAGATCTGGACACCTAAAATAGTACATGGCTCTGAAAGAAATGGCATCCTACTTCCTTAAGCAGTTGTTTTCATGTTACTCTTAACAGAGCTGTTAGTTTACACTCAGATGGCACATTCATTTTGGTGATGAATGATATTATATCCTTGTAGGTGACATTTTCTAGCAGTATTTTAGGAGCGTCTACAGAGACCCCTAATTTGTAATACCTCAGCATGTTTTGGGACCCATGAGAAGTGCTATATAGGTCAATAAAATGCAGCAGCTAAATGCTACCACTTTCTCAAGGTGAATAATTCATCGCAAAACACTTATTCCTCAGACTTAATTTCATTTTCTATGAACAAAATGCTTCTGAGTAAATCACAGCATTGGAAAATACATCCCCATCTCATGGGCCAGTGATGCACGCTATGGATGTGATCGGAGAGAGCAACCAGGCTCAGAGTTAGATTTATCTGATTCAGAATTCCCTTGCCAAACATGGTTCTTATGTTATATTTCTCAACTACATCATGTTGGTAAAGGTCAACAGGTCAATTGTTCATGGAAAGCAAACATTAAAAGCTGCTGCTCTTCTCAAATTATTTATATATATTATATAATTTTTAATTTTTATATCTATTTTATATACATATTAATTATTTATGTATATATACTATAGCCATGCCTGGAAGCTCCAGTCAGCATCAAGATCACATTGCCCTAGGCATTACACAAATATATGGTAAAGCCTTGTCCACTGTGATTAATTGAGTTGTTTATGCTGTCCCGTACAGCTAAACAGCGTACCATTGCCTTTCTAGCATGGGCACAGTGCTAGCAGTTTATGTTTCAGTATATTTAGGCAAGACTAGTTGACATATGGGAAGCTGTACCATTGGGAAGTAGCCTTACATGTAATTCTGTCCACTGGGGAGTTTCTCCTACATACTTCAGTACAAAAACCACATTCCTCCTTGGCACTTGGAAGAGTTGGCCATGCAAAGGAAGCCAGCCTTGATCCTGAGGAACCAGAAATCTGAAAACAGAAATTACAACTGATGTCTGAGGGAAAGGAAAGCCTGCCCTAATTGCCCTAAATCACAGAGGACTGTAAGGACTGAGCTGCTGTTCTCAGAGTCCTCATGGAGTGTCTCATTTTCTCATTCAAAGACAACATTTCCCAACTTGTACATAGGATTCTTGTCATTTGGCTGCAGTTAAGTGGGAAGTGTGTAAGGAAATAGTTCTTAAGGGATTTGGAATAAATTTTTAAAAATAAATAGGAAATGCCCTCGACCGTGTTGCTCCAGTATTGGAAACCTTCTGCTGGTAGGCAGGGAAAGCCCACAGTGGGATGTTAAACAAAATCACAGGTTCTCCTCAGCATTCAGATGCCCTTCGCATATTTCAGTATTGTTTATTTGAAAAGTAGGCTTGGTACCACTGGGAACCTGGTAAAGTTTATCTTGAGAGGTCAAGAGGGTCTGAAGCAAGCAAGAAGAAGAGATTTTTCACAGCACTCTACGTTCTTTCTTGAAATAATAAAATAAAATGAGACAAGTTTTGAAATTTTAATCTCAGCATTGTCAAAACTATAAAATGCCCCTCTCCTTTCACAGGAAAATTCACAACACCAGAGTGGTACAGCTTGAAAGGCAGGGTAGGCTCCTGCACAGACTTTGCAATGCACTAGTCTCCTGGTGCAAGGGTTTCTCTTGTACACTTCCCTCTCTTTGCTCTTTGAAAAGCAATGCATTTTGCTGGGAAGCTAACAGAATCAAGCTGGTTCACAAATACAAGGAGGCCTTAAAAAAAGATGTGGCCAAGCACTTCTTGGATCTGCACCAGGCTAAACACTGTGTTTCAGTAGGAGTCAATCAGATAAATGTCAGGGCATGATGTGAATTGCAGTAATATGTTTTTCCCTGCCTCACCTGGCCATGCTGGTGCCTTATGCGAGCTTCTGAGCCAGCACAGCCTGCTCCCATTGCAGGGCCCTTCCTGGGATGCTCTCTGCCCAGCACGTCCCTGCCTGACACCTCCAGGTCCCATCTTCCCAGTCTGGATTCATTCCT